ACGCGGCGAGTGGGCAGAGCGGCGCTGCATCTCCGGCGGGAGCTGCGGGCACCCGGCGGCTCTCTGCACGGTGAGGAGCCGCTGCGGCCGGGCTTCCCCCTCTACCTCCCCTTCCCGCCTCTGTTGCCGGGTCTGCGTTCTGCGAGCGTCCTGCTCTGGGCGAAGCTGCGGGTTGGCGACCTGGTCCCTGCTGGCCTCCTGCCCTGTCCCCCGTCGTGGCCGAGGCGCGTTGTCCAGGGTCCCCAGTCCGCGCGCTCCGCACCTGACGCTCCTCGTTTTGTCTTCCGCAGATGCTCGCGGCGCCGGCCGTGCTGTGCGTGTGCGCGGCCGCCTGGTGCGGTCAGCTTCTCGCGGCCGCAGCCGGGGGGCGGTCGGACGGCGGCAATTTTCTGGATGATAAACAGTGGCTCACTACTATTTCTCAGTACGACAAGGAAGTCGGACAGTGGAACAAATTCCGAGACGTAAGTGCCACGCGCCCCAGTGCCCGGCACGCGCGCCGCTCCGAGGCCGGGCGGGGGTCGGGGGTCGGCGGGTCTGGGTCCCGGCGCGCGGCGGGGAAGTTCGGGGCCGCGTCCTCTCCGGCGCCCTGGTGCGCGGAGTCGGGGTCTCCGGGTTCCCCGTGCTCCCCGCACCCCTCTCCCCGTGCACGCCTGCCCGCCCCCCGGAGCGTGCGAGTGCGGGCTCCGTCCTCCCAACTTCTGAATGGAGTCTCTGGCCGCGGTCAGCAGGCAGATTGATGCGCCTGGGAGACGTATCGCCGCTGAAGTAAACAGGATCGATCCCGTTACTAATGGTCCATTAAGGAATTTGAGGGAGGAGGTAGGAAGATGCAAGATTTATCAATGCCGGCTCTTCCATGTGGGGGTTTGGCCGCATCAGTCGGCAAGAGTTTAGCTGCTCCGGGTTACGTAAAATTACCCCTCCGGTTTGTGCTTCGACGTTAACTTTAATCCAGACATGTTCACAATGCATTCGATTGCATCGTAATACGAAATGAATCACTACCCTAAAATCTGCGGGATGGTGACAGCGGATTAGACTGTAGACCGGCTACTCTGGGGAGTTTCCCGAAGGAGGGTTGTTAGGAGAGAGCCAGGTGGAGAGACTTGGAGCCAGGGACTGTGACA